CCTGAGCTCATTGACAAATATCTGATCTTCCTTTACACAGAGTGCGCATGATCGCGAAATCGAAAGTGAACAGCGAGCGCTTATTCAAAAGAGATTTAGGCCTATATACTCCGCATATTGATGGTGGCTCCCTGATGCGCGAAAATTATATGCAATATTATAATGTTTGCGGGAGCACTGGACACAAAAATCACGGGAGGTGGCGATAATGGTCCGAAATTCAGGGGGAGCCGGATTAAGAAAACAGTCCCTCGCAGGGCTCTAATACAAAAACATACAATAAATGGCGACTGTAGAAAGCAAAAGCCGAATCCCGGACATTTTGGGCGATTTAGAAATCCCAGCCAGGCGCATTTTTTTTTAGGTCCAAAAAGAGGACATGTCCGGAAAAAAAGGACGCATGGTCACCCTAGCTTATCACAAATATTACACTTAGCTGTTACTTGCTAATCGCAAGTGTAGCCAAACACTGGAGTGCTTAGAATAGCGAGGAAGGTCCTGGCAGATCGCAGAGTCGTGTCCTCACAGATGGAAAAAAGAATAGATGCACACACAGGAATCAATCGGAATCGAAATGTACATTTTACAATAAGTATCCGATTCCTGACCTTAAAGGGGTCATATGATACGCTTTCAAGTTTTCCTTTCTCTTTGGAGTGTTACAAGCTGATTGTGCATAGATAAGATCCCTGAAGTTGCAAAGACTAAAGTCTCAAAACCAAAGAGATATTCTTCATAAAAGTTAAGACTCAAGGCGGGACTTTGTAGAAAACGAAGCGTTTGAGAGAGGCGGGGCATAGAGGACCTACAATAATGTACAGTATTTGAAAAATAATGTGTTTTTTGAACATTAAAGCATGTTCTGTTACACCAAATACACAAAATAATGATCTTTAAAAAAGCATCATATGACCCCTTTAAGTATCCGATTCTGGAATTGAAATCGATTTTTGATTCCCAACCCTAGACAACACAATTTAATTTTTAACGAGCTATCACGTTTATTTTTCCAATCCACTGGTCACAATTGAAAGCCGAACTCAGAAATAACTTGTATCCATCAGGCAGGCAATAATATAAAGTAATAATAAATTAAATAAATGTTAAATAAATCAAAGTAATGGAGAAGTGGCCAAATCAGTCAGCAGGACAGTCATTTTTCAGTCATTTTTCTTTACTGACTGCGGGGCTGCAGGCTGTGCACACGTCAATGACCCCAGAAGACCTCTACACACAAGAGGAACGAGCGCAATTGACAATGGAAGGCTACAAGCCTTACACACTGTAAGGCTGATGATAAACTGGGCAACTTTTTGAGCAATGTTGCCATCAACGGCAGGGGCGTGTCTAGAGCATTTTAAATGGGGGGGCCAGTCGGGGGCACTGGCTCAAAAGAGGGTGGCCGGGGGGTTAGTTGTGTTTGCTAAGCTTGGTCTCTTGTCCATTCCTCGTTTTCGGCTGTCCACTGTAGGTGGTAGGTCATTTAGTCTTAATGCTCCTAAATTATGGAATTCGCTACCCCTTACACTTCGTAATATATCATCTTTGTCTACCTTCAAGACTCAGCGAAAAACGTATCTTTTTAATATGTATTTTTGATAATGTGGCTATATGTGGCCTTATGTGTTTGTATTGTGTATGTGGGTGTGCAAATGTTTTGTACAGCACTATGAAAAGTGACCTTGAGCTATGGAAAGGCGCTATATAAATAAAACTTCTTCTTATGTACAGTCAAAAAATTACATACAGCACCTTTAAAGACGCTCAGGACAGTTGACTGGCCACTGCTGGCCACGTCATGTAAGCTTTTCATTTGCACGTGTTTTTAAGCCTTGCCAATTTAAACATTCAAGAGATTTTAAAGTTTAAGCAAAAGATTGTGAAAAAACCTCAACTGAGTACTGAGCTGTCTTTCGTGTCTCCTTGTGCTTGAACAAACAGATACACCATGCCAATTTAAACCTTCAAGCGCAAAAAGACGCAAAAGAGCTTAATTCAGCACCCACGCATGTGTCCTGTGAACACCGAATTGAGTTTTGCATCTTCTTGTGCTTGAATGGACAAATACATACAAAATTATGTTGAAATACCCATCTTGGTGAGTATCCGCGAAAAACTGTCGGTTATGCCTTAAGTGAACATAAACAGTTGAGAAAGAAACTACGGCTCTGACTGGCACGAATATCACCTATAAAACACACTTACGTCTGTACTCTGAATGAGGAAGTGCCGGCACTGGCCGCCCCAGTGCACAGACAGCACATATTCTTGTTTGCCCTGGCTTTCTCGAACCAGGAAGTCGCCATCATTCTTCAGCAGTTCCTGCACCTCCAGACGGGGGATGGCACCGTGATACCAGCTCTGCTGGGTCAACGGCTTCTCCACCTCGGGCACCGGCGTCAGGGCGGGGGGAACCTGGTGAGATGTATAAAACACACTACTCTACAGGAAGAAGTTGCAGATACAGCAATGAGCAGAAAGCAGGGAGGCGAGAGAGGAAGACTGCCACTAAAAAACACTAACCGTATACTTGGGCTTGAACAAGCTGCTGAGGTGACTCACGATTACATCCATGTTGAGGAGCTTATGGTCTTTATCGCGCTCCTGCAAGAGAGAAACAATGAATAATACAATAGCATGACAAATAAAACTGTAAAACCTCTATCTATCATAGTGTAGCATATATAATTTAGTATTTTATTATTTTAACTTTTTTATTAATTTCTTCTAAGGCAGTATGTTCTGGGTTTGGGAAGAGACTGAAAATGTAAATAGTATTATCTCTGTAAAATTATATTAAATTATCAGTATATATATATATATATATATATATGCTTATGAGGTTTTCATTTTTTTACAATGTCAATAAACCTTCTTGTACTTGAAATCATAGAAATGTACATATCTGAAAACATACAGTTAAACTGGGAGATCAGCTAAACAAACTGCCTTCAAAATGATTTACAGTGGAATCATGCCTCAGTCTTGTGATGCTCGAGAAACAACCATATTCAGAAAGGTCAACCAGCCGCATGCGAGGAGTGAGTCCTGGTAGCTCAGAGTCAACAAGGTTGTGTAATTCTCACATTTCAAAATCAATGTAACAGCATGACTGGCTTAGATACTTTTACATTACATCTCTATGACACTGCATTTTACAGCTTTGAAGAAGCCACTTGATTCTTTACAGGGGCCATTTCATGTTTTTCATTTTATTTACAGTCCACTTATTTTACTATAAGTTATCATTGGGGGTTTGTGGTCATGTGTTGATATACAGTATTCATCTGTTTGATGTCACAAAGTTGCTGATTTGTTTAAAAGATTGTCTCTTCTCACAGAAGAGGAAGTTCTGAAAGTTACAGTATATTTTCATACACTGTAACGATGAGCTTTTATTTCAAAATATAACATAAAAATCGATTTCTCATGATCTTATTACTCCATCAACCTGCAAGTAAACATGTTTTAAAAGTCAGATATGTATTTTATATAGTACAGCTGCAGAGACTTTGCTTGTTTTGAAGAATGGAAAATCCCAGGTTTAGTCTAAGCTATTCTTAAACCTTTCCGACAAGTCAAGTACAACTGAAGAACGCAAAGCAGGTGTAGGAAGAACTGAAGCTCTCAGGACAGATTTAATGAGATGAGAGTGGACTCACCGAGTTGCTGGACGTGACAGATATCCGATCATCATCCAGGCCTATAGGTGGAGCCTCCTTACTGCCCAGAGACTGAAGCTTATCGGCCAGAAGCCTCCGCTGGGCCTCCAGACGAGCTCGAGCCACCATGGACAGAACTACCTGCTGTCTGCTGTCCTCCACAGCATTACGCTTACTGAACTGATACACCCTAAAACAACAAGCGGAGGAGAACAAGCTCACATTCATGTAAACAGTGGTGAGAATCTGGTGAAATCTGAATGCTCTTACTCATTCAAAACGATTTGATTAGATTCAGATTGATTCTGTTCTTTTTATTGCCACTGTGGAGGCACAAGCAGATTAATTGATATACACCAGAGGTCTCAAACTCACATCAGTTTATGTGGCCACATCAGTAGAGTATCTAGAGTTTGATCATTAATGGGGCAAATGCCCCCCAATAAAATTAGCAAAAATAATTGATAAATTTTTTTTGCAAAAAGAGCACCAAAGCAATAGTTATGGTTTAGTTGATTACAATAACAACTCCATATATCTATACCTTGAAATTCTGTTATAAAATGGTACATTTTATTAATTTTATTTTTAACTAGACTGTGAAAAATTGGATATTCCAATTCTCAAATATGTGCAAGTACATGTATATTGTGACTTAAATATTTTTATAAAGATCATGTTAGTTGATAACCTATAGCGAATGATGGAGTCAGAGACTGTCAGATTTAAAACATGTAAATTCGTCCACTTCTTCCTAAAGACATAAAAGTGTGTGGCCGGTCACTTTTGGCCAGACCTTTTTCTCAAAATATATTTGACTATAATTTTATTGATTCTAATTTGTTACATAAATTTGTAACATTTTAAAAACATTAAATTCAGAATGCTTCCCTTAACCAATCAGAATGAAGCATTGCAAGGAGTCACAAGACCCAAGGCTTTACAGTCGTGGCCAAAAGTATTGGCAGTGAAATAAATTTTGTGTTTTGCAAAATTTGCTGCTTAAGCTGTTGTGGTGTTCATTCACATTGTTTCTAGATTATGTCACTGCCAATATTTGTAGAAACAATGCGAATGAACACCACAACAGCTTAAGTAGCAAATTTTGCAAAACACAAAATTTGTCACTGCCAATACTTTTGGCCACGACTGTATGCAGTATTACTTTATATGAAACTTTGATTTCATGTCTCAGCCACACATCAAAATGCACTTTTATTTTCTGTTTCTGCTGTAAAATACACTGCAGTGATAGAAATCTGATATTAAACATGATGGCGGTATGTTGCAGGGGTTAAAGTAGAATATCTATAAGGTTTGAATCTACTTGGAGCAACACTTGAGCTATCTGGTTGTTCCAGAGGAAGTGAACGGTAAGTGACTTTGGATAAAAGCGTCTAAATGATTACTTGCCTAAAAAATATGTAGAAACTTCCTCTTAAAATCTACTTGGCATTTGAATAGCAAATCTGGAGCAGGGGAGTTGAGTCGTGTAAGGAGAGAGCACAGGCTCACCTCTGGCCTGTGTTTGCCGAGCCCTCCTCATTCTGCAGATCCAGCTCCAGCTGGTTGACAGTGGCCTGCTGAGAACCAAGAGTATTAGCAAGACCCAGGAGCTCCTCCTCCACAGCGGTGAGCCTTGGAGAAGAGAAAAAATGAGAAGCCGTGAGAGTGCAAAATGCGTTGTGGTGCAATAGAAGATGCTAAGGGCCAGCAAAACTGAGACACACATTATGTGAGGAAATATGAGTGTGAATCGTATTTGTGTACAAACTTACCCAGCTGCTAAACAACTGTATACAGTAGGGATGCTCATATTGACCGTTTAACCCTTAACCGAAAGAAAGAATTTTGACTGATTAATACTATCAGTTAAACGGTTTAAAAGGTTTTAAATTATTTTTTTCAATGTTTTTATTTATTTATTAATTCATGGAGGCGTGTCGATACGTGCAACCACACGTGCCTACAGACATGTTTTGCTGCGCAAGCACCTCCACTTTCACTTAACTGAAGTAATAAAGGCAACACAATGGCAAAAGTCAAGTGGTTAAGTGGTTATCAGAGAGTGAATCTGTGAGTGAATGTATTCAAATTCTGAATGGGTTATAGCCTAGAAAGCACGCAAAGAGCTGTCATTCATCTCAGTTCTTCGCAATCTCACAAAGTTCTGTTATATTCACTGAAGCTCTATACTACTGCACAATTATCTCTTATTATCTCTTATTTACATTGTGTGTACATTTTGTTTGTTCGAATGAGAGGATTCGCGAGCGTGCACAACTCAGAAACACTGAACAAAATTCTAACGTAAACACCTCTGATTGACCATTGCGTTCATGAAAATCAACAGATATGTCCGTGATTGGCTACAATGCTCAACACTGCAGAAACCAGTGTTATGCCGTGGAACAGGCTGCGCTCCAGACTATGCCACATAGCGTCGACAAGTTAATTTTTAAAAATAAATACTACACAAGTTGTGCACTGAGTTAGACCTGCTATTTATTTTTATGCCTGACGAAAAACATGCGGTTCTTCAAAGCGCATCTAAGGATTCAGTGTGTGTTTTCGTTTTGTCATCTCAGTTTGTTAATTATTTAAGTGAAAAAATATTTAGTGTTGGCCTATTGATTTTATTCTTTTTATTTATATTATTTTATTCGGTTTTTCTTTGTTCTCAGAAGCGCTGCAGGTGCGGATAATTCAGATGTGTGTGAACTCAGGTTCTGTTGTTGCTCTGTTGTTGTGTATCCTACTGTTCGCGCATGTTAAAATAAATTATAAAATAAAAATTTTTTTTGTATTTTTAATGGGCCACAGACACTCGTCCATACTATTATTTATTTAATACTAATTTAATATTCTAATCTTATCAGTTAATGGTTAATGTTCGGATAACGAGCGGCGGTTTTAACCGAAATGTAGTATGTGTGCATTTACTGTATACTACCGTTTGGGATTGGTAAGATTTTTTAATGTTTTTGAAAGAAATCTCACTGAGGAACGCACACCAAGGCTGCATGTATTTGATCAAAAATACAGTAAAAACAGAAAAAATTTGAAATATTATTACAAGTTAAAAAGACTATATGAAGACTACATTTTAATATGTTTTAAAATGTAATTTATTCCTGTGACGCAAAGTTGAATTTTCAGCATCATTACTCCAGTCTTCAGTGTCACATGATCCTTCAGAAATCATTCTAATATGCCGGTTTGCTGCTCAAGAAACATTTCTCATTATCAATGTTAAAAACAGCTGTGCTGACTAATATTTTTTTATTAGTTTTTTTTTTCTAATATAATTTTTTTTTTTTGTAAGAATGTAAAAGTCTTTGTCACTTTTGATCAATTTAATGCATCCTTTCTGAATCAAAGTTAAGATTAAAAAGAATAAAATTAATTTCTTTAAAAAGATACCAAACTTTTAAATGTCAGTGTATAACATTACTTTTGTGTTTCCTACATGAACACATGTGAATTACTAAAAACGTGTTAAGAGTTTTGAAGAAAACATGTTTAACACATTTTGTAGCTTGTTACTTTGATAGTTTTGAAAAAAAAAAAAAAAAAACTCTGTTGTAGAAATCCGCATAATGGGTTGGGATGTTGTTCTTAGAGAATGAATTGTAGTGTGTAAGTAATTGAAAAAACTAATTATCTGGTTCCTAATTAGCTCAAGACAATGCCTTACGGCCAACACACACACAAAAACAACAAAAACAAATAATGAACCAAAAAGTAACCAAGCTATGGAAAAATACTCCTCATTCTCTACCCTCTAAAAAAACACATGAAAAAAAAGAAATGTTCATATGATGGTTTCCATAAGCAATAACAAGGCTTCCGAGAGTTATGATTTCACTTCTACATTTCTGACATTTTTGCTTTCACTGGTGCCACTATGCTGTACAGCGGTGTGCAGAAAGAAGAAGAAACTCACCGATGCTGGATTCCTTCTACTGTGAGCTCATTGAGCTGCAGATCTTCAGGCTTCAGACCTTCAGCGTCCTCCAACAAACTGCTGTCAAACTCCACACATTCAGGAACCTCTCCTCTTGACCTGCACATACACATACATACTGTACACGTGCATGCAGAGAGACATGGACAAGACAGAAGCCTGACAATATTGTCAAGGTACTGTAACATAAAAGGGCATCTGCAAGCCCATGCATAATACCAAACAGAATATTTATTAGGAAGAAATCCAGGATGGGACTTGTTTTTATCCATCATGATTTGATTGGTTGCTATGATGTTATTAGTTATATTACATTGCGCACATGGCTTGAGTTATGTCTAAGGGGTTAAGATTTGGAGAGTTGTTGGGCTATATTAATATTCAGGAAACACATTTTCATTCTCTGTTGACAGACATTCAAGCACAATTGTGACAATTTTTTTCAAGCAACAAACAAATAATATTTATTCACAAACTATTTATTTATTAATTAATTCATGCATATATAATTATATGCAAATATTTCATTATATTATAGTAGATGTTTGACCAGTGACCATTTATTTTTGGAGGACTCTTAAAAGCTTGAAATTAAATTATTTTTTGTTATTTGTTTCAGCCTTTCTCTTTACAGCTCATGCAACTATAACTAACCAACCAACTAACTATTTATTTTTTTATTCATTCATTCATTCATTCATAATTATATGGAAATATTTCATTATATTATACTCAACGTTTTGCCAGTGACCATTTATTTTTGGAGGACTCCAAAAAATATCAAAAATCATCAAAAAATCTAATTATCAAAACAATAATTTGAAATGGACTTATGGATAAATTGATTTATTATCTGTCGCAGCTTTTCACTTTACAGCTCATGCACCAGCAGGGTAGTTACTAATGAAAGGGCAAGAGATTGTGAGCAAGTTTGACCTCAAATGTTCGACCTCAACACATTTTCATTCTTTGATGACAGACATTGGGATAAAATATTTTTTGCAAGTAACACATAAAATAACATTTATTTATTTGCGATTTTTTCAATTTATATTACAGTAGATGTTTTGCCTCTTAAAGGAACACTCCACTATTTTTGAAAATAGGCTCATTTTCCACCTCCCCTAGAGTTAAACAGTTGAGTTTTACGGTTTTCGAATCCATTCAGCCGATCTCCGGGTCTGGCGGTAGCACTTTTAGTAGCGGTAGTACTTTTAGCTATAGCTTAGCATAGATCTGATTAGATGAAGCTAAAAGTGCTACCGCCAGACCCGGAGATCGGCTGAATGGATTCGAAAACGGTAAAACTCAACTGTTTAACTCTAGGGGAGTTGGTAAATGAGCCTATTTTCAAAAATAGTGGAGTGTTCCTTTAAAAGCTTGAATTTGAATGTGCCAGCAGGATAGTTGCTATTCCAGGGCCATCTTTTATGAAAGTAAACAGGGTTCATTTGATTTCATGTTGATTTTATGAGATGAGAATAAGTTACACAGAGGATAAACAAGCAAGTTAGTAAATGTATGCAACATCCTTTGTTCCTCTGGTCCAGGATCCCATTTCATTCAACAAAACAAAAACTGGGAACAAAAGGGAAAGGTACAGTATATACCTGTTCTGCTGGATGAAGTTCTCGTACTCTGTCTGTGGCTGGATGGCTTTCAGGGCATTGGCCATTTCAGCGTGAACACTGACCACCTCATCATGAAGCAAACTAGACAGATCGAAATACTCCTGCAGAATCTCCTTCCTAAGAAAACAACATGCCACATGTGTTTTCATACACAGGACACAACAGACCTACTTCTTCTTTTTTTCTAACTGTATAAGTTTCGTCTATGTACAATTCATGTGAGAAGTGAACAGGATGACATATCGTCCATTCAAAAAGCATAAGTCATTGGGGGGAAAATTGTCAGCTCTTAAAATAAAGCAATGAGTAATCACCTAGCAACCGCCTAGAAAGAACCATAATTTAGAAACAGTAAAAATCTATTTGATACTACGGTTGAGATTATTTTAAGAAAACGAAGGTCTTACTTGATATTACCTACCACTATCATCATATATAGAAATAAATCCATGTTAACTGAACGCATGTTAACTACAATGATTTCACAGTATATGTTTATAGTGTTGATGTTATTAATGTTGACTCACAGAATAAGCACCATTTCCTCCTGCAGCGTCTGCAGTGCTCCCAGCAGGGCCGGCTGGCTTTGGCTATAGTGGAGTTGGTGATGCACCTGCGCAGCCTTCACCGACAGCACATATTCATTGTGGTGCTCTTGCAGTTTCAGAGTGGCTTTGATGTAGCGTTCCTTCGCTTTCTCACGTTCTTTGTCTATACAAAAGACCATCCACAAACACACATGAACATCTAGGAGAAAGGTGATGTACAGCTGTGCATCAGGTACAGGAGGCTATGCAACCCTACACACACACACACACACACACACACATATAAATATATATATATATCTCACGTCTGTTTTGTGTTTTTGTTCAGTTATATAGTCCTCAAGTTTCCATTGTCTTTGTCTAGCTTTGTTCTATGTAACCCGCTGTTTGGTGAGTTGTTTCATGTTCATGCCAAGTCAAGTCTCTGTTTATCTTGTATTTCTTCATGTTTGGATTTAAACAAACTGCACATGGATCCAGCAAACTCACCTTCAGTGGACTGAATGTTACAGAAAGCTGGACTGTTAAACATGAACCCAGCAGTTCATCTTCTGCGTCTTCGTCAGGGCAATCGCCCCATTGAGGAGTTTGTGGAGGACTTTTGTGGATTGTGTCATTTACTGGATTTTAATGACACTGCTTCTCAAGGACATTTTTTGTTTTGGTTTAACAGAAGAAATATCTTGTTTAATACCACATCATAGCCCTCACTGGACTCTGGCTAAGTGTATTGACCATGTTTTTCAGCTGTGTGGTTTCTGAGCCTCATGTCATGGCCACGGAGGCCATTCATGAACTCTCTACCTGTCCTGTCACAGCCTTTTATTTTGAAATTCCCATAGTCGTGGTGTTTGTCATGTGTTTCCCATGCCCCTTTTGTGATCTTGCCATGTGCTACCCTTGTGCCAAGTCTCTGTTTATCTTGTATTTGTTCATGTTTTGTATTCAAATTCATAAATAAACTGCACATGGGTTCAGTGGACTGAATGTTACAATATACTGTATATATAATTGCTATAAAATTATAAAATACTCACACTACAGTTCAAACACTACAGTTTGGGGTCAGTTACATTTTTTTTTTAATTAATACTTTTATTCAGCAAGGATGCATTAAATTGATCAAATGTGACAATAAAGACATTTATAATGTTATATTTCAAATAAATGCTGTTATTTTGAATTGTCTATTCATCAAATACATCTAATTTCAACACTGATAGTAGTAGTAGTAATAATAATAATAATAAATGTTTCTTGAGCAGGAAAACAGCATATTAGAATGATTTCTGAAGGATCATGTGACACTGAAGACTGAAGGAATGATGCTGAAAATTCAGCTTTGGAGTCACAGGGATAATTTTTTAAAACATTAAAACATAAAAATCAAAAAATGTACAATATTACTGTATTTACTCTATTTTTGAAACAAATAAATGCAGCCTTGGTGTGCATAAAAGCCATCCCACTGATGACAAACTTTTGAACAGCAGTGTAGTTCTCAAGTGCTATATTTACTCATTTAAATTTAAATCAGCAAGCCATCAAACCACTGAAGTCCCCCATACATCGTGCTTTAAAGGCTATAAAACAATTTGCTTATCCTATCAAAATGAGATAAAATTGTACCCATCATTTGCAGTGTACACGGAAGCTCATTTCAATAATGCCTTCCACAGTGCAAATATACAGTATCCGTAATTAACTTTTCATATTTTCATATTTAACTTTTAATAACTTTTATTAAAATTTTATTAACATTTTATTTTATTTTTTAATAACTTTTCATATTTTTTCGTAATTAACTTTTCATATGTTGTCGGTGTATGAATATTATATTTACCGTTGTATTCATTTTGGCCCATCTAAGTGCTGCAAAAAGAGCTCTGCTGAGCATTCACACTATGCTCACTGGAGAAACCACATTGAGTTTTTCTTGTTTCCTCTGTAAGAGGAAACTTTGTTACATCTTTGTGACCGAGAAAACACATGTCTTGGTCTAAAGACCGTTTTTTTCACTCTTGGCCAAGTAGACAAATGCCTTGTTTACATAATATCTCAAAACCGTTCAGTGTTTAAACATTAAACGGTTCCTTTATCTGTTCAGCACAAAGTACACAATTCACAGTCAAAATGAAAGAAGGGCGGCCAAGCATTTTAGAGAACAATACAGCAGCGAGGCATCTTACCTTTGCTTGCTTCCTGGTATTTTCTTTTGGCCTGGGTCGTGTCTCGTACTAGCTGTCTGTAACTGGACTTGAGTCGGTCCAGCTCAGTTTGGGTGACCTAACCTTCCACAACAGGACAAAAAATCTATCAAAATCCAGACTGGTTCATTAAAGTGAGTCACATGTGTCATGTGCAATCAAAGGCATGTAAGGACAAGGGGTAAAACCTCATTGCTGACAAGCAATTCAACATGTTACTAACCAGCTTTAGATATGAGGATGAATATGTGCGATGTTCAGCTAATAATAGTTTTAAAAGCCTCCAGGCTAAACACAAGTATTAATGGAAATAGTGATTTATTTGTTGCAGTAGTAACTTCCTATATCTGTGAATGCAGGCTGTGCATTCAATCAAACTACTGGATTTTGGTGCAAATTCATGCATTACTGAGTAGAAGCCAAATCAGACAAAAATGCAAGCTATACTGTGACCAAAATGGACAGGTTGCCTGACAAAACTACTGAATGTGAAATAAATTGATCATGTTGGGTCGCCACTTAATGTCCGATATAAAATCTGGTTCCTGAAGTAAACGGTTTCAACTGAAACTTCTACCGTAAACAAACTGACAGACACACAGAGTTTTGTTGCTGATGAAGCTGATAAGATTCACAAGTGCTCTAGAAAGGTATTTTTCTACTTCCTGATGTTTGTTAGTGTATATGTTTGCAGCGTTAAACCATTCAAGAATTCACAGAAACCATCTGAAGATCAACTGGCAACTTGCGCTTCAGTTATAACTTCATAAACTCAAAGCAGCAGAGAGCGGCAATGCAGAAACCACTGCTTTTCTTATTAAACAAATAAAATAAGCACAAAAATAAGCTGCTTGATGGCTTACCACTTACATTTCCTCTATCTAACATTAGATTGTGCCAAACATCTAAACACATTCACAAAACCAAATATGAGATCATTATAGATGTTCTGATAAAAACTTGAGTGATGGTTGCGGGAAAAGATCGCAGATACAATGCTAGGATGACGATTTCTATTTCAAATAAATTCTTTTCAGCGGTTCTTCTAAAATGCTGTTGTTTTGAACTTTGAACTTTCTATTCATTAAAGAATCCTAAAAAATATATATATAAAAAATATAAATAAAAATGTATCATGATTGCCACAAAAATATTAAGCAGCACAACTGTTTTTAACATTGATGATAATAAGTAATTTTTCTTGGGCAGCAAATCAGCATATTAGAATGATTTCTGAAGGATCATGTGACACTGAAGACTGGAGGAATGATGCTGAAAATTCAGCTTTGCATTTCAGGAATAAATTACATTTTGAAATATTTTAGTTATTTTAAATTGTAATAATATTTCACAATATTGCGGTTTTTACTGTATTTTTTGATCAAATAAATGCAGTCTTGATAAGCATAAGAGACTGTTTTTAAAAAAAATTAAAAAAAATAAATCTTACCAACCCCAAACTTCTAAACAGTAGTGTATATGCAAATAAAAGCACATGTCTTGGAAACTGAGAAAATTCATTCAAATATTAATATATTCACACACATATTTCCTCATTTAATATGTAACTTAATATTGCTGGCTCTCAGCATAGTGACTAACTTCTAATGCATTACAACTTGAACGGTAGTGTATATATAAAAAAAACTTGCTAATGAAAATTTGTCATGGTAAATAAGTATGTTTGTAGTGTTGCGAAAGACCTTCAGTTTGAGATACACTCTTAAAAATAAGGATCCAAAAGGGGGGTTTCGCAGTGATTCCATAAAAGAACCTTCAGTTTTTAACATTTTTTCATAGTGCAAAGAACATTTTAGAAGCTAAAAAAATGGTTTTCCACTACAAAGAACATTTTGTGCGATGAAAAGATTTCATGGATGTTAACCATCGATGACAATATGGAACCTTTATTGTTAAGAATGTAATGTGTAACGGTATAAGAGTGATGTGCGTGTGGCGCTGACCCTGCACAGCTCCTGGTTGAGATGGTTCCACTGTTCCCCGTAAGCCTTCCTCAGCTGCTGCTTGTCCCGGATGAGGAGGGTGAGTTTGCTGAGGGGTCCCACCATCAGATCCTCCGAGTGCTTGCGTATGATACGACTGAGGCTCTCCGTTTGACTGACCAGCACATTCCACGACTGTGAGAGCCAGAAAATGAATGACGTCTTAGGATTTAGGCATTGAAAATGTGAATGCAGGATTATATTTTATTGTGGTGCATGCATCTCTCAAGTGAAAAAAGACATTCTGAATGTTTTCAATTTGCATCCTCAAAGAAAATAAAACCATTTGAGGCCTGTTCATGCCCTATACTCAATTAGTGGCTCTAGCATTATTGCAGAGCTTTTCAATTATTACAGTGCAATTTCCCATAACAGAGACATGGCACTTTCTATGCCTTTAGGTGTTAACATCATGTGGAAAGTAAGGATTAAGACTCCGTACTTGAGAGCATTTTAGCATGGATATATCATCTAAATGCAGTAAAATCTCCAATATAAATTGGAATCAATCATGGACAATTTCAAATACAAGCCTTCTGAAACGTTATACTCGCTAAGGAGATACTGTACTTCCAACCTTATTGAACTGGCTGATGTAGTCGAGACTTCCTCCGGGCTGAGATCCTTCCAGCTTCTCAACAATGGCTGACATCTGATGCAGCTGCACGGAGAACTCGCGATCGCTCTTGGCTCTCTGCGTCATCCATTTCTTCATAACCTCCATCAAACGCAGCTCAGAGTCTTGTAGTTTTATTAGGGCGGCGTGACCCTGAGGGCACCACAGGTCCTCCGCGAAACCCATACCTGCAGCACGCTACAACAGCAGAGGTGTGTGAAAAAGTGTTTTTTATCAGCCATCATGTGGTCAAAAATAATAACTAATAGTCAAAATTCCCTACACTGTGTAAGTGTCACAAGCAGTATGCTGGTCAAAGATACTTGATAGTCAGGTCAATGAGAAACACCATAAACCAAGATCTACAGAAAGAGGAAGAATATTAAAGACTTTTAAAGGGTTAGTTCACCCAAAAATGAAAATTCTGTCATTAATTACTCACCCTCATGTTGTTCGAAACCCGTAAGACCTTCGTTCATCTTCGGAACACAAATTAAGATATTTCTGATGAAATATGAGCGTTCTCTGACCCTCCCATAGACAGCAAGGTAACTACCACGTTCAAGGTCCAGAAAAGTACCAAGATGATCGACAAAGTAGTCCGTGTGACATCAGTGGTTCAACTGTAAAGTTACGAAGCTACGAGAATACTTTTTGCGCAAAGAAAACAAAAATAACGACTTTATTCCACATTTTCGTCTCTACTGCGTCACTTGTGGAGCGCCACACGCTCGCGTCATGGTACTGTCGTGAACGCGCGTCCAAAGTGACGCACGCAGTAGAGACGAAAATGTGGAATAAAGTCGTTATTTTTGTTTTCTTCATCAAAAATATCTTAAATTGTGTTCCGAAGATCTTACGGGTCTGGAACAACACGAGGGTGAGTAATTAATGACAGAATTTTCATTTTGGGGTGAACTAACCCTTTAAAATACTTTAAATGCACATATCATAATCATAACATCATTGAACCCTTTTGTGTGCCTGTTGCAAAAAAGGATTGGAATAAACGTGGGCGTTTTCAGAAGCTTTCATTTCCTCACGGGCAATTTAGGACAAGAAAGGGATGTTGTCTATACTGACCACTTCCCATATCGCAACGGCATATCAAATGTGAAAGGTTATTTAATAGCGAAGAGCTCAGTCATCAGGAAATATTCTGAAATGCAAAAAAGTTAATGATTTACAAAGCACAAGATCTACTTTGTGTAAAGCAGTAAGGAAAAAACAGTGATCTTGTTCCAAAAAACAGATTTTCCATCTCTGCAGTTTTAATCACTATACTTGACCTAGCTATTAGAACTGACCTAGCTATTAGCTAAGTATAATTACTTATTAATAGGCACACAAACAACAAAAAATGTGCGTATATATATATGTGTGTGTGTGTGTGTGTGTATATAACACTTAAAAAAAAAAACTTTACATAAAGTCCTAGTGCGCTTTACTATTTTCTTAAACCAAAAAGTAACTCATCATACTAATTTCCATTTGAACTAATTATTTTATAAGCCGTTTTTATTTGTGTACTGTATTTACCCATTATAAGACCGAAATTAACAAGGTCACACTCTGTTTAATAAAGATTCAAAAATATAACAAAAACTCTTCCATAACAATTAATAAATGAATTGTTTATTGTCTGAAGGCGATGGCGTTGTGACGTCACCGAAGGTTTCTTCTACATGTCAGTCAATGGTTACAACAACAACATTATATTTCTTATAATGATTAATCGTATTCTTAAACAAATAAAACAGGCATTCTTAAATAGATCGACTATGTAAAACCAGAACTCCGAATATTCTATTGTCGACACTTGAAATGGTGTAAATTCTCACCTCAGATGTGTCTGGCGCAGCGAAACGTACTACCTGTCAGGACGACCGGAGCACGTAATTCTCCATTACAACAAAGCGACGAGAGGGAAAGAGCGCGTCGAAACTGTAAATACCGGAGACAGTGAGACAAGCGAGGCCACAGACGAGCTCTTGTGATGACAGCAGCGGCGAAAGAGCTGAAACCAGGAAGACAGTCCGGCAGGCAGGACGCAGACTCACTACATTCAACAGGATTAAACCGCGAACGCACGGCAACACCTGCTCTATACAGATATGATTTAATAAAACCTGTCTTCTATGAATTTACGTATACATTTACATTCATATTTACATAAGAAAAATCGGATTTATAATAGGCTACAATTATGTTAATATGACTAAATATTCATTATAAATACATTAAAATCATGTTTTGAAATCATGAAAGTAGACAAGCAATAATTCACAAACATAATTAAGAAGCTTTTATATATGTTGCATTGGAACAATATGCCCTGCAGTAGGGTATACTGTCACAAAAGTTCAATGAGTTCTATGGTTTCTCTCTCTCTCTGCAAGGTATGTGCCTATACAGGCAAAGTGAATAAGAAATGCTCACATAGAAATCAGGATATAAATTATCTAACTGTCATGATTTAATATTTTGGACAGTAATGATTAATTTAGGTTTTTTTTTTTCAGTGAGCACGTTTTTGGGGATTACACACATTTTGTGATGTAATGTTGTACAAACTGAGGGAAGTCCTCTGGAAGTCCATTTTTTGTTATGGAACAGGCAATGGCTAAAATGTTTATTTCTCCTTTCATTTTTTCGAGTCACATTTTAAACTGGTCGAGTCAGTCGAACCAGTCAGCACATGGTTCAACATTTCTCAATCAAATACATCCTTTATGTAGAGTAGACAAATCTCCCTTTTGAAGTCAATGCACGCAACACTTCAACCTCAACAGTCAACAGGGTGCCAGACCTTTTTAGAAAAACAGTTCCAAGTAGAAACCTTTCAAAAGTGTCATGTACCTTTGTCAAGAACATCTCAACATCTAAAAAAAAAAAAAACCTAAAAAAAACTACTAAAGCTTTCAGCATGGCTGTGGACTTTAAGATTTGATCTGACCTACAACAGGAAATACAACAAAGAGTTCACAAAGGAAAATGCTGAAGTTTGCATAGATCTTTATTTTTTTTGTATAATCTATAATTCGCATATTGACATCAATTAAATAAAAAGAAAAAAAAAAAGAAAAATAATCTTTAAATTACATGTAAATGACAATGCACCATTGATAGTACAAAAATAGGCCTTATTTTTATATAGTTGTCCCGTCTCAGGTAGTCAAACAAATGATTGGTGTTTTCTACTTGGGGATCTACATGCATCAGTTGACTCTTCAAATAAAGGTGAAAATAATCTTATGATTCCAGAAGGTTCTCACTTGAGCCTGAACACACACACACACAGAAACAAACACTCGAGCCCTTAAAGCGCAATGCAATCATCGCACCATCAGGGTGAAAACCTATTGTGTGTGGCCTTTGCAAAAACTGCAGCCACGACACGAGTTTAGACCACAACCACTAAAATGTCATTCAACAGCCACTCAAAGCGTTTTTATGAACGTGTATGGCCAAATCAATTATCTAATTCAAAACCGAAGCTAATCCAATTTTCATCCTGTGCTCTTTGGTCATGCCTTCACACTCTTTAAGGCTTTCCAAAACAGCTGTAACACTAAATCATCACTGCAGGGGGAAGAACAGCTATTTTACAGTTTAGCGCAGGGGTCTCCAAACTCGGTCCTCACTCTACCAAGCAGCTACATGCCCACTAGTCCTTTTAAGTGATTAGAGAGTGAAAAAAGTATATATATATATATATATATATATATATATGCAAAATGAATGCAAAAAATTGTGGCCCTATTTACCCAAATTCATTCTATGTAAATAAACTGAAGACCTAAATATAAAGACAACTGTTTAGCTAGATAGTAATTTGCAGCTTCAAGTTTGACTCTATACAAATAATAAAAGGAGGGATGAAAAGTTCCAATTTGAACCTTGGTTTAAGAACAGGGAGGTACCAGATCAACAAATAAGCATTACTGTAAGGTCTCATGATATTTAACAGCCGTGAAACTGTAGGGTGTCGTAAATGAAGATGTTCTGTTAGTCTACAGACTGCGTAGATGAACAGGACACACTTTAAAATAAAGATGAGCCTTGGTGTATTAATTGTATAAAAAGTGTTTGAACTAAACTAAAGCAAGGCTGAAGATGGTGCAAGTAGTTTGTGTCCTTGTGTCTTTGTTTTGCACAGTTAAGGTTAGGGTTAGAAACAATGGTTCTGAAAGGCTGATAGTGCTCACCGGTTACTGCCAATCATGTTGATATATGATAAAGGAAGCCAGACCATCAGCACATCATCGCATAACTCTGTTATCTATGGAATCTGTGCAATAGAGACCCAACATTGTAATTTCGTAAAGATACTGCATAAGACCAACATATGTGGATCATGTATATGTGATTCATATTTAAAAAAACAACAACAACAGTACTATATTCTGGGCAGATGAGCTGACAAGGCCAAGCGTACTACTATCAACAAACAGTAGTAAGCAAAGAAAATGACCTGATGAAATGACTTGAGCAGATAAAAATAACCAATCATCTATAAAACCCCAGTGATATCTGACAGCTGCTCTGGGTGAGGGTCATCACAGCCCTTTCTCTGATTTATTTCAAAAACACACCCATACTGTGCAGAACAACACCTCCAACATCTGTATATCATAAGTGGATGATCCCCATAAACATGACAACATGGAAGCCAGATCTTTTCAGGATAGGCCTATAGCCGGGACCGTAGTGTTTCAAACCGTGACTGGAGGACAGATTTAGAAAAGAGAAGAGCTTAATGTTGCTGAGCTGGCTCGGAGGGACTGACTGACATCAAGAGTTTTCTCCCCTACATACGGTACGGTCAGAGAGCGCAGGGATACTGCGGTTCACAAAGAAACTCACAAAAAAAAAGAAAATATTTACCATATTCTCCTACTCACTCATGTCATTTCAAACCTGCATGTGATCTTACTTTAAAGAAACACAAGACACGTAAGAATCACCAGAGCAATAAAAAAGGATCATAAAAGTTGCCCATAAAAGTTGTCTCATGTTAATTTTATGAGGAAAATTTTCAGAAGTTCAGAAGCCATTTGTGTTTTTGAGATCTGAGAACACAGTGCAAAAGTTAATATATAATGTATATGTTATGGTGCTGTTTTATTATATATATATATATATATATATATATATATATATACACACAAATTATATATTAAAAATTACAATAGAGTGGAAATAGAAGCTGAATATTTGTCATTAGACTAAACAATTAAATGTAACAATTACAAAATAATGAATCACACTAGGTTTGATGCCATGATTTTGACATTTTGATGAACAAATTATGACACACACACACAGAGATATTGAGGCATTTGGACTTTCTGCTAAATATTTTCCACCTAAGAAAATCATGCAGGTTTGCAATGACATGAGGGTGAGCAAATGATGACAGGTTTCATCTTTTGGAGAACTATTCCTTTAAACAGCCTACTGTACATAAAATAATCATAAATTCAGCAATGTAGATGCTCTAGGGGGAGCAGTAAGCTCTTCAAATGCGTGTAACACGCAACACACTGCTCTGCTCTCCATCTCTGACCATGTAGAAATAGTGATATGTTCTTCTAAAAGGCTCCCAGTGCAAAGCCAGTGGGTCCGACCCACTGCAGCACTGACTGACTTCATATAAACGTAGTTTACACTCACACACTTACTCATCCACTCAAAGAAAAGCTCTGTTTTTCTCATATGCAAATAAATCTTGTTTTTTCTTAAAATCTCACTAGGCAAGAGGAAGAGACCAAAAAATAATCATGTTTATTGTAAATTCAGGACGGCCCTGCGACAATCGACTCGTCACTGTCACTTGTGATTGGAAGCTTTCCATGTTGAGGCACCGAGAGGTCAACGCCCAGGTGAATCATGGCTCATATAACTACGACAGGTGCCAAAAACAAACCAAAACCCCCAGAAGTGAGATATGCTCAGACGAACCCCAGAAGGAAATCACACTAAAAAAGAGACAACAGTGCAGTAGAGGCTAGAGAGGGGAGGAACATGGGTAAGAAGGGGTTAAAGAGCACTTTGTGTTTTGATGAAGGCAGTCCTCTCGTTGCGGACCTCGAATTCCTCGTTTTCAGACTCAGAATTGCCTTCGTCCCCCCGCCAAACGCTCGGGATGCCCTTGTAGGCAACTGCAGTGCGGTTGAAACCGAACCCGACCAGTGAGCCGGATCCCGGCCCTGCTTCAGCAGAGAGCAGTTTGTTCTGCATGCGCGTGTGCATCTGCAGGATGCTGAACACGGCCACAAACGTAGCCACGATGAAGGCACAGCTGAGCACGGCCACGGTCACAGGCAGGCGAGAGGTGAGCTCTGCATGGAGTTTGACGGACGAGCCACCACCTTGCATCTGAAACAGTCTGCCGTCTGGAGACTCCCGATGGATCTGGTTCGGGTGCAGACAGGTGCCAGTGACGGCGTCCAGGTGCCTGTTAGGTGGGCAGGAGAGGCAGTTCTGAGGGCCCGTGCTGCTGCAGGTGAGGCAGACGGGGTGACAGGGCAGGCAGGCGGGACGGAGGACGGACATCACCTCGTTGTTGGGGAGGAAGGTGGAACGGGTGCCTGCGGTGAAACCTCCTGGACAGTCTCTCACGCAGCCTGTCTGGTACAAGTAGAAGCCGGGGTTGCACTCTGCATTAGGAAGAAACAGGCTACAGTTTAGACTTAAAAATTGTTCTGGATTGAATACAAGCTAAACTGTTTTGCTGATTTCCACAGGAAATTAACTTGACTTCAAAAAACAAAAAACATGTTTATACTTGGATGGATGTCCATGAGACCAGAATTCCTGAGGATTTAAAGGAGGAAAAGCAAAGCTTGTATTTTTTTTTTTTTTGAAGGGCTGTTGACCGTACATTCAGGAAGCAGACATGTTTTGCAGTGTTACATGCTGGACTCCATTTAAAACCACATTTGAGACCCTGGACCATAAAACCAGTCATAAGGGTCGATTTTCTGAAAGCTGAATAAATAAGCTTTCCATTGATGCATGGTTTGTTAGGATAGGACTATATTTGGCCGAGATACAACTATTTGAAAATCTGGAATCTGAGGGTGCAAAAAAAATCTAAATATTGAGAAAATCGCCTTTAAAGTTGTCCAAATGAAGTTCTTAGCAATGCATATTACTAATCAAAAATTAAGTTTTGATATATTTACAGTAGGAAATTTACAAAAGTTCTTCATGGAACATGATCTTTACTAATGATTAATGGCAAAAAAGAAAAATCAATAATTTTGACCCATACAATGTATTGTTGGATATTGCTACAAATATGACTGCTTTTGTGCTCCAGGGTCATATATTATATAAACAGAAACGTTAATTTTGTATGCGATTAATAAAAATGCAAGTGGTGATCTACAGTCTGATGCACTGGGACTCAGGCGTGTCGATGAAGAACACCTGTGCACCTGCAGGGGGCGGAGTCTCCCGGGAGACGGGGCTGGGG